GGCGGGCAAGAGATGGGTGAGGGGGACAGGAGAGAAAGGGCAGGAGGAACTGGTGAGTAGGCAGAAATAGGTAAGACAGTCAAGATGACAGAAACGAGAATGGAAAGAACAAAGAGACAGCTGCAGAAGTTGGAGAACTCGAGGAGGGGAGGGATGAGGCCAACGGGGGAGCTGACGTTCCTTGAGAGGCCAAGCCCACCCCCATACTCTCCCTCGTGGCAGCAATTTGAGTCTGCTGCAGTGCTGCCTCCCATCCCATCCCCTCTGCACGGCTACTGGGGAGGGGCGTGGGGGAGGATCGGTGTTGACGCCTTACATCTGCCAGGAAAGCAGGCAAGGGCGGGAGAAGAAGGGAGTGAGTTCAAAAAGAGGATTCAGGTGGAGTGTGGCTTAGTTGGTCATTTACGTTTACGTTTACGTACGTACGTGTACGGGTACGTACGTTTACGCGGCTGTTGGGTTGGAGGCCTAATGTACGGGCAGGTGAAAAAAATTATGGGCTGCCTGAATATGTATATTTTTTCTATAGTACCCCCTCGTAATTATGATTTCCATCACATAGTGTAAACATTCCATCGTATAGTGTATTGGTTTGACTCGAAGTTGGGATTCGCCGAAACCAGTGAAGCTCGGCGGTGACGAAACTGCCGAGCGGGTGACATTTGCTTACCTTGCAAGCGAAGCAATCGCGAGCTGAGTCAAACAGTTTGCAATGTTCTATCGCGAACAGTTTGTACACGTTCGCGACCACAATTTCCTCCCTCCCTCTCTCGACAGACTTAGTCGACATCGTAGTTCTACCGTAGCTATCGTAGTTCTACCTCCTTAGTCGACATAGTACGTAGGGTAGTCGCCACACCATAGCAACCCTAGCTAGCAACCTTCCAGTTTCTTACATTACTACCTTGAAAAACGTCGCGCCATTTTACTAACATGCTAACAAAGGATAGGTCATCGAAAGCTTGTTTCTTTTTTAGGTTTTCGGAAACCGTTTTCAAAGAAAAATTTCGTCCAGAATTTTTTTTTGACCTGCCCGGCGTACGTACACGTACGTACGCGTATGTACGCGTACGTTACGTGTACGTGGGCTGAAATGGCGTAAATGACCAACTTAGGAGTGTGGGTGGCGGGTGAAACACGGTGGGAGCGTGGCATGGCGGTGTGTGTGCGGTGAGCATGGTGAGAGCATGGGATGGCATGAGATGCTGCATGGTGCAGCGACAACACTCCCTCCACATGAGCCAAGTACCAAACCTTCACCTTCCACCTGAACCATAACCTGAACTGAAACTAAACCCAAAGAAAAAACTGGTACCTTAACCACGGGGGAAGGCTCTGTGGAGGGGTGGTTGGCATGACAGCGAGGAGGGAGACGCAGGAGGAGGTGGCGTGGCAGTGCAGTGCAGAAAGAACGACTGAGCGGGCTAGTAAACAAGGGTCGTGAGCTTATCTTTGTGTGGAGTGTCGAGGGTGCCTTGCTGCTGCACCTTGCTGCCCCTTGCTGCAGGTCAGGCTTTGAGCAGCGAGCCTGGCAGAAAGGGGAGGGGGAGAGGAGGCCAAGTGGAGGGAAGAAGGGAGGGAGCGGGAGTGATTTAAGGGAGGACACAGGCAGCGGGATGTGTGCATGTGCAGTGGGTGATGGTGAGAGCATGGGATGGCATGACACACGGCATGGTGCAGCGCCCTCCACAGGAGCCAAGTACCATACCTGAACCATAACCTGAACCTTGCACCTGAACCATAACCTGAACCTTGCACCTGAACCATAACCTGAACCTTGCACCTGAACCTTGCACCTGAACCATAACCTGAACCTTGCACCTGAACCATAACCTGAACCTTGCACCTGAACCATAACCTGAACCTTGCACCTGAACCATAACCTGAACCTTGCACCTGAACCATAACCTGAACCTCTACCTGGAAAAAAACCTTAACCTTCACCAAGGGGGGGAGGCTCTGTGGAGGGCTGGATGGCATGGCAGCGAGGTGGAAGGCGCATGGCGGGAATGAAGTGCCGAGAATGTTGGGATGTGGGCTCAAAGAGGAGCTTGAGCTGAAACAGAACGGAAGCGGGTATGGATCTAAGGGTGTGGGCTTATCTTTGTGTGGAGCACTGAGGTTGCCTTGTTGCCCCTTGCTGCAGTGCCTGCCTTGCTCCCACGCCTCGCTGCTGAGACTTGGACTCCAGAAGAGGCTTGGAGTGGAGAGCCTGGCAGTCGGGGGGTGGTTGGGGGAGGACGGGGGGAGGGAAGAGAGGAGGAGAGCGGGAATGAGTGAAGGGAAGCTTTGGAGGAAACCAGGGGGGGGAATGAGTGCATGTGCAGTGGGTGATGGTGAGCATGAGATGGGGCATGGCAACACTCCCTCCACAGGTGCCAAGTACCAGACCTTTACCTTTCACCTGACCCATAACCTGAACCTCTACCTGAAAAGAAACCTGGACCTTCACCAAGGGGAGAGGCTCTGTGGAGAGGTGGTTGGCATGACAGCGAGGGGGAAGGTGCAGGGGGAAGGAGCAGTGGTGTTCAAGCTGACTGAAACAGACACGGAGCGGGTATGAAACCAAGGGCGAGGGCTTATCTTTGTGTGGAGCGTTCAGGGTGCCTTGCTGCGCCTTGCTCCTGACCCTTGCTTGCTTCTGCGCCTTGGTGCTGAGACTTGGACTGCAGGACCGCCTTGAAGCAGAGAGTCTGGCAGTCAGGAGGGGGAGGAGGGGGTGGGGGGGTGGTGAGAAAAGGGGGTGGGGGAGAAAGGGTAGAAGAGAAGAGGGAAGGGACCAGGAGTGAGTGAGGTGCTGCAATGGATGCCACAAGAGCGCAGAGATGAAGCTCAGTACGAGAGCAGGAAAAGGGCGAAACTGAGGCTGAAACGGCAACAAAACATACTTGGAATAATGGTGGTTGGAGCAGGAGAAGGAGTTGAAGAAGAAGGCGCAACAGCAGTTATTGTTGCAACCAGCGTCCTGATGTTGCTGTAGTCAGCGAAATGATATTGCTGCAACCGGCGTTGTACACATTGGTGCAGGTGGTAAAGCAGTGCTTCGTGGCTGCACAAAAACCACCACAAAATGTTAATTTCTGGGTGATTGCACAGCAGTAGCCAAGCGAAAATCAATTGACGAAATAAATTTCAACAAGGCCCTTGGGAGCTCACCTCGGGAATGAAATCGAAAACTGCAGTCAGCGAATCGGTGAATGGCGGATTGCGGAACTCCCGAGGTAAACGAAGCTGTACAGCGGAGAATGGATGGAAGAAGTGGAGAATCAGGCCTTGGAGTAAATTGGTGGCGTGGACGTGGATTCAGCGAACCGGAATTGTCCTAGGAGAATTATAAATGTTAGAAATGTGTGGAGCGAGAACGGCGATGTAGCAAAACTGGTAGAATGATCCGAGGGTCCTTCGCGAATTGAGGGTAGCGAAATGAGGATGCCGAGAGGCAATGCCACGAAAGTGCCCTGCGCAGGAGAATGTCCCTGGAACTTGGGTCGCTGACGTCATGTGTGGTCGAAATTTCACGTCGCGGTAAATTTGAAATGACCTTCAACGGTAAAAAAATGTGCCTTGCTGGTCCTCTACAGTGGTCCCAAAGAGTGCCAGCATGGAATATTCTGCAACCAGGGAAAGAAAAGAAAGAAAAGGAAAGGTTCGCCTTGCACCACGTCATTCAGAATCCTCACTCCATTAAAAAAATCCTCCTAGGGAGTTTCCGATTTGCCTACGTGGGCTTTTTCGAACGGTCGATAGCTCGCAGACCCACGTGAAGAAAGCAAAGCTGGTCACATGAAGTGACGTGTTCACGAAATGCGTGACGTGTACCCCATTTCACACCACCAATTTGCTACATCGAGGTGCGCCAGCTCTACTTTCTGATTGGGTAAAAAAGGCGGTGGAAAAACAGGAGACCAAAGACTGGGAAAGGTGGGCGGGAAACTTGTGCTCTGTGAATTGTGACTGACAACGCAAGCTGGGAGAAAACGAGAAAACTTGAGGTGGGGGGAAGAGAAGCTGGCGAGAGATCGAATGTTTGGCGAAATTGTTGTATGGTGATTTTCGCATCCCTCATATAGGTGATGCAGCTGCAAGAGCTAGTCTTGAATTTTTGGGTAGTAAGTATATACATAAGAAATTTTCACGATCTGTCATCCCTCGCAATCATTCACGCGCTCAACAGTCAGGTAACGATGGGTTGAATTAGGTGTGGGAGGCCCAGCAAAGACTAAATACCGCGGTTGGTGCCTGTGGTACGCGAAGGTCGACGAGCCCCATGCGACGTTACGACAAGTCCGCGATTGTCAAGTTGGTTTTTTTCGTTGTCACAGAAAGGCCATGAGATCAGCCCAAGCGTCGCTGTCCGCTGATTGGCCCAGCAGCGACTCGCACCCCGCTGTACACCGCATAGTCCACTGACTGCCACACGGCGCAATGCGATTTGTCATTGCGGCAGAAGCGATCACGGGCAGCACGCATAAATATGTGACCCCACCCCCTTTTCCCCTCCACCAGACCACAACCTTCAAACCCTTTCCCCACCATTCCATTCTTCCATTCTCTCATCCTCTTTTTGGAGGAGAAACTGAACATCGCTGCTGCTGCTATCATGCAGACTTGAGCCGCCCAACAGCAATTCGTAGTGTGCCTGGGGCCATGGCCGTCTGACAGTATCTTATAGTTTAACTGAACATCGCTGCTGCTGCTATCATGCAGACTTGAGCCGCCCAACAGCAATTCGTAGTGTGCCTGGGGCCATGGCCGTCTGACAGTATCTTATAGTTTAACTGAACATCGCTGCTGCTGCTATCATGCAGACTTGAGCCGCCCAACAGCAATTCGTAGTGTGCCTGGGGCCATGGCCGTCTGACAGTATCTTATAGTTTACGCCTGAACGACGTGTTGCCATTTTTTTGTTTTCCTGTGTATCGCGTCGCGTTGGAGTACTATGATTGACTGTAGAGCCCCGAAAAAGATCTGATTGCCGAATTGAGCGGCGAGCTGCGAGCATGTCGTCGGCGGTGACGCACATCTACCTGCACGTCATCCAGGACGTCATTAAGAACGTTCGACCCGACTTCCAGAGCGACGGCGTCGACGAGAGCGTCCTCCAAGAGCTGCAGCAGGTCCGTCCGTCTCCCCTGCAGCAGGTCCGTCCGTCTCCCCTGCACCAGCTCCGTCCGTCTCCCCTGCACCACGTCCGTCGATCGCTCCTGCGTTAGATTTCCCGTCCTCCAAATCTCGTCCGATCAGTGCGCATGGAACCCCTGTTCTTCGCCACCACAGCCTGTTTCTAAGGCCTCTCCGAAACGCACTGCCCATCGCTCGTCTGATCAGTGCTCATGGGTTCCCTTTTCAGCGCTACCGTCCCCGTTTTAGGTCCATCGCTGCTGTTCCCGTCGCTCACTGGACGTCCCTTCAGTGCGCCCATACCGGACACCCTTTTCGGCGCTACCGCGGCATGCCCGCCGCTGACCGTGCTTTACCTTCCTATGGCCCTCTTTCCTGCCTTTAGTACAGCCCGTTTCCCGGCGACTAATCTATCTGTCACCGCACCCCTCCGCAACCACCACAACCTCTCACTACGTTCATCCCCCCTCTTCCCTTCTCCCCCTTTCTCCTCCCCCCTCTCTTCTCCCCGTTCCCCCCGCTATTCCGGCCAGCTATGGGAGGCGAAGGTGATGCAGTCCGGTGCGGTCATCCCCGTCGGCGGGTATGCGCTTCCGCCGCCTGCGCCGCCATCCGCTGAGGCGGATGTAGCCGCGGTGGTGGCGGAGGAGGGGCCGCTAGGGGGTGCGGAGGGGGAAGCAGCGGCGGAGGAGGGCGTAGGGGAGGAGGAGGGTGGCGAGGGCGCGGGACACGGAGGGGGATTCGCGGGACATGATTTGAACATGCCTTATAACGGGGATGGCGGAGAGGCGGAGGACGAGCAGGCCCTGTCGCTGGGAGCATCCCACGCATCTGTAAGGCCCAAGCTGCCTGGTACATCCATCAAGACCTTGCTGAATCTTCAGGTTTTTAAAGGATGTCATTTATGGTGATACTGGTTTCACGTACGCCATTCAAATCGTGCGAATTCGTTCCCTGTGCCACCGCATCTAGCAGCATGCACCCCATTCCCCACAGCTCTGCTGTGCGACTCGTTTCGCTCCTCTCACTCCGTCCCTGCGGTGCGTGCCCCCTCCCTCCCTTGTTCGCCCGCTGCACCGCAGTACTCAAGCGGGCATGTCACGTCCAGTCTAGATGGCCGCCCACTGCCCTTCATGGTACGCCACATGCACCACCCATGCATGCCTTCCATCCATCCGCCTCATACCATGTCACACATCACTCTTCGCGCTGCGCGTTCAGCTCAGTGATACTGCACAGCACATGTCAACCCACCCACATGATCCCTCTGCTCTTCCCTTACCTGACCGCGCTAACAGCCGCGCCAGGAGGCGTGGGAGCAGAAGCCGTTCATGGTCGACATGAATGCTGGTCAGTGCCGCTGCCCTGCCGCCTCACTGCCCCGCTGCCCTGCTAACATGCTGCTGTGCTGTCGTGCTGTGCTGCTGCCCTGCCCGCCTGTCCGTCCACTCACCGCGTCCACCAATCCTGCCCGCCTTGGAAACCAACCGTGCCGAACCTCTGCTGCTCTGTGTGTGTGACCGGCTGTGTGTGCATCCAGTGCCTGAGGAGGACACGTACGCTGATGCTGCTGCTTCGGACGAGGCCACTCTGGTATGCTTGGCCTGTATGTGTGCGTGCTGTTAGCGTGCATCTATGCACGCTCTTGCAAATGCATCAGTGCATATGCGGGTGTGTGTTTGTTTGCGGAAGGAACACCGCATGTGAAAAACCAATCCCGTTGTGCACATGCATTTGCCCGCCTCCGCTCCCGGGGTGCATCCACGCCCAGTGTGAGCTGGTCCAATGAGATCCGGCCCTGCTGTGTTTGAGGTGCCTCAATCGTAGCCCCTGGTTTCTCCTGCACCGTGTGTGTGCGCGGTGCTGTGCGTGTGTGCTCCCAGGGTCTGCTGCCGGCAGAGCTGAAGCGCAAGCGAGCAGAGGAGGGGCCGGGGGGCTACGAGGAGGACGCGGGGATGGATGCAGCAGGGGGTGACACCAGCCGACCCCGCCTCACTCCCGAGTACGCCTTCCCTCAGGCCGATGGGGCCAGTGACAGCATGCCACGTGGTGCCTCCCAATGGGCCCATGACATGCTGAGTCAGCTGGAGCACAAGCATGGAGGGGGGGGAGGAGTAAGACGGGGAGAGGAGGGGAGTGGGGAGAGGAGCAGAACGGATGGGGGAGTGGAGGGAGGGTTGGGTGGTGCAGGCGCAGCAGAAGGGCGGGATGGGTCGGGAAGGCGGGTGCAACACGCGGCAGGGGGAGCCGAGGGGCGGGAAGCACGTGGTAGCAGGGGGGTTGGCAGGAGCGGCAGGGGCGGCAGGGGGGGAAGGCAGTGGGTGAGTGCCGACGAGGATGGCGATGATGCCGACGAGGTGAGTGCCTCTCCCTCTCCTGCCTTTCCTCTCTCTCCCATTCCTGCCCCTCCTCTCTATCGCATTCCTGCCTTAGCAGTTGGACTCAGTAGTGAGGTGCTGGGATTTCTGTGTTTTTTCAGCCATGCCCCCCTCCTCACCTTGCCCCCATGCGCCACGTGGTTGCTGTTGCAGGGAGAGGAAGAGGAGGAGGAGGAGGAGGAGGAGGGAGGGCGGCAGGGGAGGCAGGGGAGGAGGAGGAAGAGGAGGAGGACTACAACGACCCGGCAGCCCGCACTGATACTGGTTCGTCTCACTGATCCTTTTCCTCGGGCGTTCGGTCGTTGCACTGCCAGCTCCTGGCTTGCGTCGTTGCACTGCCAGCTCATGGCTTGTGCGTCATCACCACTTGTTTCTTGTCCATTGGCCACAGCTATGCCACACCTTGACACGTCACTCCACTGCAGCTCACAGCAAGGGCTTACGTCTTTCTGATTCGTCCTGGACCTTGCAACCTCTCCACACGTTTGCTCCATGTGTTGTGTGGTGTGCGTGCATGTGCTGTGTGCGGGGCGGGCAGCCAAGGAGGAGGAGGAGGAGGAGGAGGAGCTGGGGCCAGCAGATGATGACGAGTCGCTGGGGGCGGAGGATGATGACGATGATGACGACGATGGGAGGGGGGTCATTGGGGCGGACGAGGAGGGGCAGGACGGCAACATTGTGCTCGCCACCTATGAGAAGGTGTGTCTGGGGGACGGCATAAGCGGGGGAGTGGGGATGCGGAGGGGGGAGAGGGGAGGAGGGGCAGCACAGCAACCTGTGCTAGCCACCTATGCGGGAGGTAGGGAGCCCGGAGGCGGGGTTCAGATCCTTGGCAGGTTCTTATCAATTCTCTAGGTAGAACATTTGCTGGCACGCACGCCACCTCTGGTTGTTGCGCCTCCACTACTCGTGTGTGCCTTTCTATTGAATGTGCTTGGCGTGCTGTGCATACTCGCAGGTGACTCGTCAGAAGAACCGGTGGAAGTGTCTGTTGCGGCACGGAGTCATGAGCCTGAATGGCCGCGACATACTCTTCTTCAAAGCCAACGGAGAATTCGAGTTTTAGTCATTTTAAATTTCAACGCATGTACTAAGCATGAGTTGCTAAAGGACACTAAAGCCAAGGAGTCTAGGACTTGTATCATTGAATCAGCTATTGTTTTATCTGTTCAAAGCCATATTACACCTCATGGATTCTCGAATGGCCGTTACAAGCGTATGTCTTCAAAAGTTTCCTGACGAGGATAGCGCTTCCCCTGCCTGATCTCTTCACTCCGCGCGTCAGATCCAGCGACAGCGAACCCCCGCGAGGGCCGCCTGCCTTCCGCCAGCCCTGCCCGCCTGCTCAATTTCCCTTTCCCCGTGTGACCATTACCCGCTCCCCGCGCTCCTCGTTCCACCCGCTCTGCCACACCAAAAACCTAAGCTTTTGTGTCAGTCGCTACCAACCAAGCAGCAGGTTAGGTCTTAGATATGCATCGTACTTAGGGCAGTAGAGCGTGGCGCAACCCAGTTTCTGCGGGATCATGTGACGTGCGTCTCCCATGTGGTCGCATTCAGACATCGTATCAGATTCGCAATCAAATTCAGATTCGTTTGCTTGACGTGTTGAGAACTCCAGCACGCGTCTTATTCTATTCGGCCGACTTCGCTTCGCGATAACCTAGACAGCACCGCCTGTCGCGGCCACGAAAACCCTCGACTCTTTGTGAGAACATAAAGCAGCGAGCAGCCGTATCACCAGCGGAAGTAGTCTCGCGGTTAGGTCGACACCGACCAGAGCGGGCAAGGCGACGAGCGAGGTGATCGCAGCAGTCGCAGTCGCAGCAGCATGTCGCTGCCGTCGCAGTCGCACCTGTCGGGCAGCATGGAGCGCAAGCGCGTGGGGTCGGGGTCATCGCTCGCGCCGTCCGCGGCGGCGGCGGCGCAGGCGCCGCTGGTGTGCCACGGGCACTCGCGGCCGATCGTGGAGATCGCGTACAGCCCCGTCACGGACGATGGCTTCTTCCTCATCTCCGCCAGTAAAGGTCTGCGCGCATTCCCCCCTCCCCCCCCCCCCCTCCCCCCTCTCTCCGCCAGTAAAGGTGCGCGCACCTTTCCCGTCTTCCCCCTCACAAAGGTCCTGCTGGGCATTCCCCCATCCGCTACTCTCTCTCCGCGCGCGCACGCGGTAAGCCCTCGCTCATCACTCGCGGCCCATCGTGGAGATCGCGTACAGTCCCGTCACCGACGACGGCTTCTTCCTCATCTCCGCCAGCGAAGGTGCGCGCGCGCCATTTTCTCCTTCCCCCCTCTCCATCAGTAAAGGTCCGCGCCGCCCCCTCTCCGCCAGTAAGGGTCCGCGCACCTCCTCCTCCCACCGTCTCCGCCAGTCAAGGTCTGCACCCCCCTTTCCCCCCTGTCTCCGCCAGTAAAGGTCCGCGCGTTTCCTTCTGTCCGCCAGTAAAGGTCCTTTCGTCCCCACTTTCCGCCATTAAAGGTCCGCGCGCGCACAGGCGGTAAGCCCTCACACACTCCTTTCCCCCCTCCCCGCATCCAACGCGCGCACAGACGGCCAGCCTGACACGCCCCTTTCCGCCTCTCGAACCCCAACCGCGCGCGCGTACGACAAGCCCTTACACACACCCTTCCTCCCACCCCCTCCCGTTGCGCGCAGACGGCAAGCCGATGATCCGCAATGGCGAGACGGGCGACTGGATCGGCACGTTCGAGGGCCACAAGGGCGCCGTGTGGGGCGCGTGCCTCGACCGCCCCGCGCTGCTCGCTGCCACCGCCTCCGCCGACTTCACCGCGTACGATGCGGGGATCCAGGGGGGAGAGGGAGGGTTGGGGTGGGGGATGGAGTCAGGGATTGGGGATTAGGAGGGCTGTGCGCTGCTCGCCGCCACCGCCTCCGCCGACTTCACCGCGTACGATAGGGGGAACCAGGGGGGAAGGGGGAGGAGGGATTGGGAGGGGGCGCTGGAGCGGGGGATTGGGGCTTGGGAGGGTATGGCGCTGCTCGCCGCCACCGCTTCCGCCGACTTCACCGCGTAGGGGGAACAAACGGGGAGAGGGAGGTGGGGCGTGCATTGTGGAGAGCGGGAGCGAGGCTTTGGGCTAATGGCTGGGCGGACAGCATCGAGAGTGGTAGAGACTGCTGTCTGTGACATGACTGCACACATACAAAGCAGCATTACCTCCTCCCCATCCCCCCCCCACTCCCCCTTTCCAATTCCTCCCCATCCCCCCCCCCCACTCCCCCTTTCCAATTCCTCCCCCGACTCCCACCTATCCCCCTCCTTGCAAACCCTACCCCGCCATTACGTGCCCCATTCTTACCCCTCCTCCCACTACCCTCCCCATGCCTCTTTCCCCCAATGCGCGCTTCGCTTCTACTCCGCCGTCCCTTCCCCCACATGCGCGCATCTCAGCGTCTTCCTCCTCTCTCCCGCCCTCCCCCCTCCAGGCGCATATGGGACGCGTTGACGGGCGACGAGAAGCACAAGCTCGAGCACAAGCACATCGTGCGCACCGTCGACTTCTCAAAGGTCAGTTCCCTTTTCGTCTCTGGCGTGCCATGCCATTCCGGGCCTACCTTGAGTGCAACTCTCCTCCGTGAGTGCACCTCTGAGTCGGCAGCTCGAGCACAAACTCATCGTGCGCACCGTCGACTTCTCAAAGGTCAGTTCCCTTTTCGTCTCTGGCGTGCCATGCCATTCCGGGCCTACCTTGAGTGCAACTCTCCTCCGTGAGTGCACCTCTGAGTCGGCAGCTCGAGCACAAACTCATCGTGCGCACCGTCGACTTCTCAAAGGTCAGTTCCCTTTTCGTCTCTGGCGTGCCATGCCATTCCGGGCCTACCTTGAGTGCAACTCTCCTCCGTGAGTGCACCTCTGAGTCGGCAGCTCGAGCACAAACTCATCGTGCGCACCGTCGACTTCTCAAAGGTCCGTTCCCTTTTCCGCCGTGACTTCTCCTCGCCTATCGGACCTGCCATGTCATTCCGGTCCTACCTACCCTTCTTCGTGCAGCGTCACAGTGGCTGGGCGATTGGCAGCGCCCGTGCGGTGGATGCGGAGAGCAGCGAGTGATGCTGAAACACATGCTGCTGGCACCTGTGCTTGCGGCCGGCTAGAAACACATGCCAATCGCTCGGGTCTCCCCACCTTGCCGTCGTTTCTCACCGGCTTCCATGTGCCCTGCTTCCCCACCGTCACCCCCCGCTTGTTCGACCTGGTCACCCTGTCTGACGCGGCGAGGGTGCGTGGATACACCTTAAGACGCACACATGACGCTCGCCTCTCACCATTTGCTCCATCTCCCCCCGTTCCACCCTCTTTCCGTTTGCGCCTATCAGGACTCGCGGCAGCTGCTGACAGGGGGCGCGGAGAAGGTGGTGAGAGTTTTCGACCTCGCTCGCCCTGTCTGACGCGGCGTGGGCCTTTACACGCCTCACGTCGCACAACTGACGCACGCTGTTCACCACGTTCGCTCCATCTCCTTCCCGTCCATCCCTTTCCCCTCCATCCCCTTCCCGTCCATCCCTTTCCCCTCCATCCCCTTCCCGTCCATCTCTTTCCCCTCCATCCCCTTCCCGTCCATCCCTTTCCCCTCCATCCCCTTCCCGTCCATCCCTTTCCCCTCCGTCCCCTTCCCCTCCATCCCTTTCCCCTCCATCCACTCCCCTCTCCACTCCCCTCCCCCCTCCCTTCAATCCGGGTACATCCTTTGCGCCTATCAGGACTCGCGGCAGCTGTTGACGGGCGGCGCGGAGAAGGTGGTGCGCGTGTTTGACCTCGCTCGCCCCGACGCCGGCCCCACGCTGTCCCTGGAGGGCATGGCGGGGCCCGTGCGCTGCGCCAGGTGGCACAACGACGACCGCTGGATCCTCGTCACCTGCAATGACGTGGCGGGCGTCAAGTGAGTTCCGAAGGGGGGGGAGTGAACGCTTTGGGGCTGTTTTGGGCTGGGCTGGGTTGGGTTGGGTTGGGTTGTGGTGGGGCACAGCCCATGTGTCTGTCCAACATCCAAGTGTGTCGTGCTGCCTGCCTGCTGCCTGCTGCCCTCCATCTCTCTGCTTCACTCCCACCACCGCCTCTCACCACCATCCCCTCCCCACTCTCCCCCCTCCTCCCCACCCCACAGGGTGTTTGACGCGCGCAGCAAAGACGTGGTGGGCATGATGGCAACAGACGGCGCCTGTCTCAGCATGGACATCTCACCCGCTGCCGGTGGTGGTGGTGCGGGGGGCAGCGCCTTCATCACCACGGCTGATGGCTCCACTGTCAAGATCTTTGATGCGCACTCGTACGATCCCCTTGCCTTCTCACTCGGCTCTTTGTCATGATCTCGGCTCTACTACCCGTCAGTCTTGCATCATTGTGCTCGACGCTCGTACATGACTCTTCTCATCCCATCATATCATCCATGTCACCGTTCTTCTGCCATGCCACCACACTGTCCCACCATTCCACCATGCCACATCTTCAAGCATCCATCCACCCCCCTCCCCCTTGTCACACCGCGTGCTGCAGGCTTCAAGAGGTCAAGTCGCATCGCTTGCCACATCAGGCTGAATCAGCATCCTACATCCCGTCAACCAATCGGTGTGTGCCTTGTTGTTTCCACCTCAGAGCGGTGTGGTGCGATTCAGTGCGGTTCGGTGCTGTGATGCCCGACGAGCCCAGCATTCACATGCTCGCTTGCCCTTCCTGGCTGCTCTCAGCCGTCCTGTTCACATTTGCTGGTTTATGTCGCGTCAATCTAAAATGTTTCTTTCAGCATGCACCAAGCTTTGTGCAGTGTTTGCCGCCGTCTCTCTGCCCCTCCTTCCCCTATCTCCCCAATTCCCTCATCTGCCCCAACTGCCCTGTGTGTGTGCGTGCGTGCCAGGTTTGTGGCGGGCGGTGAGGACTTGTGGGTGCGTGTATTCGACTATGAGACGGGCCAGCAGCTAGGTCAGCGCCGCCATGTGTTGTGCCATGCCATGCCGTGCCATGAACCATCTTGTGCCATGCCATGCCGTGCCATGCCATGAACCATCTTGTGCCATGCCATGCCATGCCATGCCATGAACCATCTTGTGCCATGCCATGCCATGCCGTGCCATGAACCATCTTGTGCCATGCCATGCCATGCCATGCCATGAACCATCTTGTGCCATGCCGTGCCATGAACCATCTTGTGCCATGCCATGCCATGCCATGAACCATCTTGTGCCATGCCGTGCCATGAACCATCTTGTGCCATGCCGTGCCATGAACCATCTTGTGCCATGCCATGCCATGAACCATCTTGTGCCATGCCGTGCCATGAACCATCTTGTGCCATGCCATGCCATGCCATGAACCATCTTGTGCCATGCCGTGCCATGAACCATCTTGTGCCATGCCGTGCCATGAACCATCTTGTGCCATGCCATGCCGTGCCATGAACCATCTTGTGCCATGCCATGCCATGCCATGCCATGAACCATCTTGTGCCATGCCGTGCCATGAACCATCTTGTGCCATGCCATGCCGTGCCATGAACCATCTTGTGCCATGCCATGCCATGCCATGCCATGAACCATCTTGTGCCATGCCGTGCCATGAACCATCTTGTGCCATGCCGTGCCATGAACCATCTTGTGCCATGCCGTGCCATGAACCATCTTGTGCCATGCCGTGCCATGAACCATCTTGTGCCATGCCGTGCCATGAACCATCTTGTGCCATGCCGTGCCATGAACCATCTTGTGCCATGCCGTGCCATGAACCATCTTGTGCCATGCCGTGCCATGAACCATCTTGTGCCATGCCGTGCCATGAACCATCTTGTGCCATGCCGTGCCATGAACCATCTTGTGCCATGCCGTGCCATGAACCATCTTGTGCCATGCCGTGCCATGAACCATCTTGTGCCATGCCGTGCCATGAACCATCTTGTGCCATGCCGTGCCATGAACCATCTTGTGCCATGCCGTGCCATGAACCATCTTGTGCCATGCCGTGCCATGAACCATCTTGTGCCATGCCGTGCCATGAACCATCTTGTGCCATGCCGTGCCATGAACCATCTTGTGCCATGCCGTGCCATGAACCATCTTGTGCCATGCCGTGCCATGAACCATCTTGTGCCATGCCGTGCCATGAACCATCTTGTGCCATGCCGTGCCATGAACCATCTTGTGCCATGCCGTGCCATGAACCATCTTGTGCCATGCCGTGCCATGAACCATCTTGTGCCATGCCGTGCCATGAACCATCTTGTGCCATGCCGTGCCATGAACCATCTTGTGCCATGCCGTGCCATGAACCATCTTGTGCCATGCCGTGCCATGAACCATCTTGTGCCATGCCGTGCCATGAACCATCTTGTGCCATGCCGTGCCATGAACCATCTTGTGCCATGCCGTGCCATGAACCATCTTGTGCCATGCCGTGCCATGAACCATCTTGTGCCATGCCGTGCCATGAACCATCTTGTGCCATGCCGTGCCATGAACCATCTTGTGCCATGCCGTGCCATGAACCATCTTGTGCCATGCCGTGCCATGAACCATCTTGTGCCATGCCGTGCCATGAACCATCTTGTGCCATGCCGTGCCATGAACCATCTTGTGCCATGCCGTGCCATGAACCATCTTGTGCCATGCCGTGCCATGAACCATCTTGTGCCATGCCGTGCCATGAACCATCTTGTGCCATGCCGTGCCATGAACCATCTTGTGCCATGCCGTGCCATGAACCATCTTGTGCCATGCCGTGCCATGAACCATCTTGTGCCATGCCGTGCCATGAACCATCTTGTGCCATGCCGTGCCATGAACCATCTTGTGCCATGCCGTGCCATGAACCATCTTGTGCCATGCCGTGCCATGAACCATCTTGTGCCATGCCGTGCCATGAACCATCTTGTGCCATGCCGTGCCATGAACCATCTTGTGCCATGCCGTGCCATGAACCATCTTGTGCCATGCCGTGCCATGAACCATCTTGTGCCATGCCGTGCCATGAACCATCTTGTGCCATGCCATGCCATGAACCATCTTGTGCCATGCCGTGCCATGAACCATCTTGTGCCATGCCGTGCCATGAACCATCTTGTGCCATGCCGTGCCATGAACCATCTTGTGCCATGCCGTGCCATGAACCATCTTGTGCCATGCCATGCCATGAACCATCTTGTGCCATGCCGTGCCATGAACCATCTTGTGCCATGCCGTGCCATGAACCATCTTGTGCCATGCCGTGCCATGAACCATCTTGTGCCATGCCGTGCCATGAACCATCTTGTGCCATGCCGTGCCATGAACCATCTTGTGCCATGCCATGCCATGAACCATCTTGTGCCATGCCGTGCCATGAACCATCTTGTGCCATGCCGTGCCATGAACCATCTTGTGCCATGCCGTGCCATGAACCATCTTGTGCCATGCCGTGCCATGAACCATCTTGTGCCATGCCGTGCCATGAACCATCTTGTGCCATGCCGTGCCATGAACCATCTTGTGCCATGCCGTGCCATGAACCATCTTGTGCCATGCCGTGCCATGAACCATCTTGTGCCATGCCGTGCCATGAACCATCTTGTGCCATGCCGTGCCATGAACCATCTTGTGCCATGCCGTGCCATGAACCATCTTGTGCCATGCCGTGCCATGAACCATCTTGTGCCATGCCGTGCCATGAACCATCTTGTGCCATGCCGTGCCATGAACCATCTTGTGCCATGCCATGCCATGAACCATCTTGTGCCATGCCGTGCCATGAACCATCTTGTGCCATGCCGTGCCATGAACCATCTTGTGCCATGCCGTGCCATGAACCATCTTGTGCCATGCCGTGCCATGAACCATCTTGTGCCATGCCGTGCCATGAACCATCTTGTGCCATGCCATGCCATGAACCATCTTGTGCCATGCCGTGCCATGAACCATCTTGTGCCATGCCGTGCCATGAACCATCTTGTGCCATGCCATGCCATGAACCATCTTGTGCCATGCCGTGCCATGAACCATCTTGTGCCATGCCGTGCCATGAACCATCTTGTGCCATGCCATGCCATGAACCATCTTGTGCCATGCCGTGCCATGAACCATCTTGTGCCATGCCGTGCCATGAACCATCTTGTGCCATGCCGTGCCATGAACCATCTTGTGCCATGCCGTGCCATGAACCATCTTGTGCCATGCCGTGCCATGAACCATCTTGTGCCATGCCATGCCATGAACCATCTTGTGCCATGCCGTGCCATGAACCATCTTGTGCCATGCCGTGCCATGAACCATCTTGTGCCATGCCATGCCATGAACCATCTTGTGCCATGCCGTGCCATGAACCATCTTGTGCCATGCCGTGCCATGAACCATCTTGTGCCATGCCATGCCATGAACCATCTTGTGCCATGCCATGCCATGAACCATCTTGTGCCATGCCATGCCATGAACCATCTTGTGCCATGCCATGCCATGAACCATCTTGTGCCATGCCGTGCCATGAACCATCTTGTGCCATGCCATGCCATGAACCATCTTGTGCCATGCCGTGCCATGAACCATCTTGTGCCATGCCGTGCCATGAACCATCTTGTGCCATGCCGTGCCATGAACCATCTTGTGCCATGCCGTGCCATGAACCATCTTGTGCCATGCCATGCCATGAACCATCTTGTGCCATGCCGTGCCATGAACCATCTTGTGCCATGCCGTGCCATGAACCATCTTGTGCCATGCCATGCCATGAACCATCTTGTGCCATGCCATGCCATGAACCATCTTGTGCCATGCCGTGCCATGAACCATCTTGTGCCATGCCGTGCCATGAACCATCTTGTGCCATGCCGTGCCATGAACCATCTTGTGCCATGCCGTGCCATGAACCATCTTGTGCCATGCCGTGCCATGAACCATCTTGTGCCATGCCATGCCATGAACCATCTTGTGCCATGCCGTGCCATGAACCATCTTGTGCCATGCCGTGCCATGAACCATCTTGTGCCATGCCATGCCATGAACCATCTTGTGCCATGCCGTGCCATGAACCATCTTGTGCCATGCCGTGCCATGAACCATCTTGTGCCATGCCATGCCATGAACCATCTTGTGCCATGCCATGCCATGAACCATCTTGTGCCATGCCATGCCATGAACCATCTTGTGCCATGCCATGCCATGAACCATCTTGTGCCATGCCATGCCATGAACCATCTTGTGCCATGCCATGCCATGAACCATCTTGTGCCATGCCGTGCCATGAACCATCTTGTGCCATGCCGTGCCATGAACCATCTTGTGCCATGCCATGCCATGAACCATCTTGTGCCATGCCGTGCCATGAACCATCTTGTGCCATGCCGTGCCATGAACCATCTTGTGCCATGCCATGCCATGAACCATCTTGTGCCATGCCATGCCATGAACCATCTTGTGCCATGCCATGCCATGAACCATCTTGTGCCATGCCATGCCATGAACCATCTTGTGCCATGCCATGCCATGAACCATCTTGTGCCATGCCATGCCATGAACCATCTTGTGCCATGCCGTGCCATGAACCATCTTGTGCCATGCCGTGCCATGAACCATCTTGTGCCATGCCATGCCATGAACCATCTTGTGCCATGCCGTGCCATGAACCATCTTGTGCCATGCCATGCCATGAACCATCTTGTGCCATGCCATGCCATGAACCATCTTGTGCCATGCCATGCCATGAACCATCTTGTGCCATGCCATGCCATGAACCATCTTGTGCCATGGATAGCACACTTCCATGCCATCTAGCATGCTGTTGCTCCCATAACATTATCGTATGTCCTGTCTTCTCTTCCTCTTCTTCTCCCCTAAAGTGTCACAAGGGCTACCACGCCCTGTGCACTGCATGCGCTTTCCACTCCCCGTCCCTCTCAAACCTTCTCTCCCCAATGTTTCTCCACCCCCTCCCTCTTCTCCCCCCCCCCCCTCCCCTCCCCCTCCCCCTCCCCCTCCCCAGAGTGCCACAAGGGCCACCACGGCGCGCTGCACAGCATTCATTCACGTTGTTGCGAATGCCACTCACAACTTCCTTCCTCCCCACCCCCCTCCCCCTCCCTCCCCCTTTCAGAGTGTCACAAGGGTCATCACGGCCCAGTGCACTGCATCCGCTTTGCCCCCGATGCACTCTCGTACGCGTCGGGCTCAGAGGACGGTACCATCCGCATCTGGAAGCTTGCTGCCCCCGCTGCTACCGCTCATGCTGCTGCTGCTGCTGCTGCTGGTAGTGCTGCTGATGCTGCTGCTAGTGGTGCTGATGCTGCAGGTGGGAAAGGGGAGGGTGGGGAGTGCAATGGAGTGGGTGGGGTGGTGAGGGTGGGGGCGACAGAGGAGGTGATAAAGAAGGTAGAAGGGTTCCATATAGCGGGCTCGTGACCTTTACGAAAGCTTCTACAGTGATGTGCCTTTGCAGGTGCATACACTGATGATTTTGTTCAGATGAAATCAATTTTCTTTATGCGTTGCCAGCAAAACGTATTAACGTTCTGTCACAGCCATTCTTTAACAACTATTCGTGAATTCGAGCATAGGCTAAGGGAATGTCCGACACGCTTGTAGGGCGTATGAGGAGCGCGAATTCGCTATGAATGTGCAATTGACCATCTGCACAGCCCTCTGCCCTACCTCCCTTGAATCGAGTATCCGCATTCCTCGCGCCAGCTAATGCATCGCTCTGCGCGTCTGCCGCTTTCCCGCCCAGCGACTGCGCGCGTCATCGGATCGCGCGTGTCCGCGAGCCTGCGCTGCTGCCGCCTCCTCTGCCACGTCACAACGCTCCTTTCAGCGCCATTCCCGGAGGCAAAGGCGGTCGCAGTCGCGCATTCCCGCGTATCCGCGCCTGCGCCCTCCCCGCTCCGCTCATCCTGCATTCCACGCTTGCCGCTCCGACCATTCTCCGCGATCTCCTCCGAATCTCAAGCCACGTCATTCAAGTGCCCAGCCACGTCAGCCTCTTCCTCCTCTCCCTCTCCACACCTACCATCCGCGCCAGTTCCGCCCATGGCCGCGTCCCAGGTGCCTTCCTCCGCTCCGCCGGCCCAGCCCGCCGCCCCCGCCGCGCCATCCCCCAGCAGTCCCCCTCCCCCGAACCCCACCGCCCGCGCGCCTCTCTCGCTCCGCCTGTGGCGGGATGCGCGCAGTCAGCGCGTGGCACAGGCGGCGGCGTACCACCCGTTCGTGCTGGCGCTGGGCGCGGGCACGCTGCCGCGGCGGCGCTTCGTGCGCTACTCGCTGCAAGATGCCTTCTTCCTCTCCGCCTTCGCACAGTCGTGAGTGCACCCTGCCTGCCTCATCGGGTCTTTGAGTGGACTGAAATATTGCTGCTTGCTGCTTGCTGCGCGTCTCACTCGTTACCTTGTCCTCCCATGTCCGGCCCACTTTGCCTTGACTGCATCGCATGCCACCGTATGGTGTGGCATGCCATGGAATGGGTAGGTACGGCGCGGCAGCGTCACTACTGGATGGGGGCGAGGAGGACGGCACGGGGGGAGCGGGGGGGAAGGATGGGGCGGCGGAAGGGGAGGAGGAGTTGAGTGTGCGGGCGGTGCTGCAGCGACTGCAGTGGGAGGCGGATGGGGAGCTGCAGATGCATGCTGCTACTGTCAAGGTGGGTACCCTGTACGACCTTGCTCAGTGCTGCCGTGCTCTCACGCTTGCAAATACCGATCCACGCATGCATACATGCACCCATGCATGTTCCCAAACAAACTTCGCATCTCTTCAATCGCTCCTCACCACACCGCACCGCACCGCACCACACCACACCCACCACGTGTGGCAGGCATGGATCGAGGAGTCAAGCGACTCGCAGGCTGCTGACGCCACTGCTGACATCACGAGCGACAGTGCCCCCCTGCCTGCCACACTAGAGTACACGTCCTTCCTCTCACATGTGGTGGCAGGGACAAGGGGCGTGTGGGACTCCCATGGGCTGGGGTCACCAGGCGAGCAGGGCGTGAGCAGCGCAGGGCAACGTGTGTGCAATCAGGGGAGTCACCACAGCCATGCGCCCTACAGCAGCAGCTGCAGCAGCAGCAGCGAATCAGTGGTCCCCTCACGGCCTGCTGACTGGATAGCTGAGGGCGATCGCTCTTCCCCCGCAGCGCGGCGGTGGCACACACTGTGTGTGTTGGCGGCCATGCTGCCGTGCATGCGCCTCTACGCCTCCATTGGCCACACCATGGGTGGCGCTGCCTGGGGGCTGCACGCTGCAGCAGCGGGGAGAGTGGGGAGAGCGGAGGAGGGGGAAATGGGAGCAAGGGGAAGCAGCGAGGGGTGGTTGAAGGGTGGGGCGGGTGTGTCGGAGGAGGAGTGGCGGTGGCATCCGTACGGCCAGTGGCTGCACACCTACTCGTGCCAGGGCTTTGAGGTGAGCCCGCAATGCTGTTATGCTCGTGTTGCCGTATTGGATTCACCTTTGGATGTTCGTCTTTAAATTATAATAAAAAGAGAGCTTCCTGTCACGGAATATGCAATGACATGACATGGCATCCTATGCCATGCAACACCAGAATCCTTCCTTCCCGCCTCTTCACCATGCCTGCCTGCTGCAACGCCCTTCCATGCTGCCCTTCCATGCTGCCCTTCCATGCTGCCCTTCCATGCTGCCCTTCCATGCTGCCCTTCCATGCTGCCCTTCCATGCTGCCCTTCCATGCTGCCCTTCCATGCTGCCCTTCCATGCTGCCCTTCCATGCTGCCCTTCCATGCTGCCCTTCCATGCTGCCCTTCCATGCTGCCCTTCCATGCTGCCCTTCCATGCTGCCCTTCCATGCTGCCCTTCCATGCTGCCCTTCCATGCTGCCCTTCCATGCTGCCCTTCCATGCTGCCCTTCCATGCTGCCCTTCCATGCTGCCCTTCCATGCTGCCCTTCCATGCTGCCCTTCCATGCTGCCCTTCCATGCTGCCCTTCCATGCTGCCCTTCCATGCTGCCCTTCCATGCTGCAGGCAGCAGCAGCGCTGCTGGAGTCGGCATTCGACCGCCTCTGGTCGCTGCACCTGCGCTCCCTGCACCATTCATGCCAGCCGACTTCCCCTACCAATATGCAGCAGCAGCAGCAGCACGTGGCAGAGCAGCACCTATCACGGGTATACAGCAGAGCCATGCAGCTGGAGCTGTCCTTCTTCCACGCCCAACTCGCTCCCTTCCCTGCCTCCCCACAAGCGCCACTGCCACACCCGCACCTGCACCTGCACGCACCCACCCCCCCGCCCTACCTCCCTGCCTGGCCGGGCTTCCTCCCCCTGGCAGCCCGCAGAGAGGCACAGGTAGGCAGGGAGGCATCAGGAGGAGAAGGGGAGACAGGCAATAGTGGGTGCGCAGTTGTTGAGTCAACGCAAAGGTCAGGCAGCATTGGGGAGGACGCGGCAGGAGTGGTATTTGCAGTGGACTTCGATGGCACGTGCACCGTTGATGATTCCAGTTCCCTGCTCGCCCGCCTTGCCCTCGCCCACGCTGCTCCCACCCACGGCACTGCTCCTGCTGCTGCTGCTGCAGCTGCTGGTAGTGGCGGTGAACATGGCAGCAGGCAGCAGGTATGGGACGACCTGGTGCAGCGGTACGTGCGTGACTACTCTGACTTCATGCACACCCATCTGCCACCCTTGCCACCCCCTCATGCACACAGGGGCAGCAGCAGTAGCAAACAGGTAGGGGATGAGAGCAGGGACAGCAACAGCACCGCCAGCAGCACCACCGCCCACCTTCCCCCCGGCCTCCTCCCCTTCCTCCACCGCCTCTCCTCCTTCGAAGCCGCGGCCAATCAGCGCGTGACAGCTGTCGCCGCCCTGCAGGGCATCCCCCGGGACGCCATGCTGACAGCGGCCAGGGAGGCTGCTGACGTGGCGGAGGGGGAAGGGGTGGGCGGGGGGCGGGGGAGTTTCAGGTCAGGGTGTGCGCGAGTGCTGCGGCAAGTGGAGGGGGAGGGTGGTGTGGTGCAGGTGGTATCTGTGAGCTGGTGTGGGGCTTATGTGGGGGAGGCTGTGAGGCATGCCATGCGGATGGCAGGGGGGGAGAGGAGAGAGGACAGGACGCAAGAGGAGGCAGAGGGGAAAGTTGGGAAGGCAGAGAGCAGGGAGAAGACGTGCAGTGGTGCAGGGGAGCAGGGAGGAGTAGGAGTGGGCAGCAGGGTAGTGGTGAGAGCGAATGAGATGGAGTTTGATGAGCACGGTGTGTCCACAGGAGCTGTGTACTTCCACGTGCAGGGAGCTATGGATAAAGATGTTATCTTCCATGCTCTCACCCATGGCACATTGCCACACACCACCTCAATGCACGGCACTGAAGCGGCACCCGCATCAGCACCAGAAGAGGCACCAGCAGTGGTAGCAGCAGCAGCGGCAGTACCAAGCTCGGATGTGGCAGCAGCAGCATCACCATCCGACGCTGTGTCGCCTATTCCCCCTCCCTCGCTGTTCATCGGGGACAGCACAACAGACCTGCTACCGCTGCTGCGAGCGCAGGTGGGCGTGGTGATGGCAGGCGGAGCATCCAGCCTGGGCAGGGTCGTTCAGGCCTTTGGTGTGCACCGCCTGCCGCTTGTGGCGCTGGCTCTGCTGCATGTGCAGCAAGGGGCCGCAGTAGATGGGGGGGGGGAGGGGCTTGTGGGTGCATGTCCTGTGCTGGCGGTGCCGCCATGGACGGTGTTTGATGCCTGCAGCTGGGAGGAGCTCGAGGTGTTCCTCTTTGGCGCTCATCGTACTGAATTTGATAACTCGCGCTCTGGCAGTGGTGTCTGTTGATCACTAACGTTGTGTGGAGTATGATTATATTTTTTACATCAGAGATTGAGAGCTTACACCCATTTACACACATGCAATCCAAAGCATCACAATTAGGCACAGCCAGGAGCTAGCAGAAGCATGAAATACATCTGGTTGGAAGGAGACTAAGGGCAACTAATCTAACAAACAGAAAAAAGGGTGAGAAGGCATGCTGGTTGCCCCTGTGCCTGAGCTCATGCCTATGATGCTCGTGCCCACTGATACAGCCTTACCGTTGCCGGTCTGCAGCAGTCCTTGCCCTTGTTGGTGTGCTGCTCTAGTCAGTCTGCCTTGCAGCAGGACAACACTTTTCTTCGAATCTCGAGAATCCGCTTGGCCATCTCCTCCGCACTTGCAGTTATTCCGCGATTCGCGATTCACGCCCGCTTAGTCGTCGTTATCTGCGCATGATGGCGCGTTCAACGGTGTGAGCAGCCAGCACGGTGGACGCAGCAGCCTTCCAGAAATCCTGGAACGCCATGTTGTGCTGCTGCCACTTGTTCTCAAGCTCCACGCGAGGCCCCCATTGCTTGAGCGACTGGCGCCACGACGACGTGCCGTTCACGGCGTGCTGCCACCCGCTCCTCGCCGCCACGTCCAGCGCCGGAACCACCGTCCCGCCGGCGAACTTGACGGCCTTGTCGCCCGCGTAGAAGGCGGCTGCGAGGAGAGAAAGCAGGAACGATGTAAGGCTACAGACGAAGCAATGGAAATCAAGTGCAAGAGTAATTGCTGAAAATGAGAAAAAGCTTATCAATGCCCTAATTTTGCTCTGCGTACCATCACATGGCAATCTCGCGAAATCGCTGGCGGGAAGGCCAATTCCGACGCCGATGAGAGTGACGCCAATGTTAAAGCCCACGCCGCAGCCCGCACCCACGTATCCCACCACCTCCGGACCGAACCCCGGACCCCATCCCACGCCGCACCCCAAGCCGAGGCCGAACCCCCAGAAAGCGCCGAGCGTCGGGTGCACTGGGTTCCACCGCTTGTACTTCCGGTAGAGATGAATAAGCGTCATGCAGCTATGAGAACCGAATTTGTTCGAGGTTTAAATCAAACACGAAACACGCAGGGCACAAAAGATAAATTTGACAGGTTGACTTCGTTCTTGGAGACCAATAACCGGAAAGGAGGAAGGAGCTGCTGAGATTAGGTAGTATCAGCTATGGCTCACACAGTGCAGCAGACACAGGTGTAGTGGTGGTGCCTTGGGAGTGGTGGTGCCAGGATAGAGTTCCTCGGGCACATTGCAGAGCAAGGAGAATCCGAGGAGCAAGGGCGATGTTGGGAGCGACGAGAGGGTGGGAGTGGTTTCTCGTCACAGCTACTTGACGGAACGGGCTTGTTGAATTTTGTTTTGTGTTCGTCAAGTTGTATATCGGGCAGCGTGATTGGCTCCAAGCCGCAAGATTCACAGAGAGGGCAGATGAAACATTCACAGGGCTTTGGATGCTGGGTAATGTTCATCATATTCCGTTTCGTCGTCAGTTTCAACCGTCGAGAACACGTCCGTCAGATGCTCACGATTGTTCTTCACCTGCGAGTGTGACAGTATTGCGTGTTGCGCTGGCACAGCATTCCTGCTAGGTGACTCCGCAACGCACAAATGTAACCAATGAAAAATCAGTTTCTGCCTCATCCGATACCGAGTGGCTGCTGATAGGGCGGAGGACTATCGCTGTTGGACGACACCGCGAAAAGGTAACGTCACGTGCCAGGCTATGCCACGAAGGCATGTAGAGTCTTCACGCTAAAAGGTCGAATCACACGCGTTCTGAGATTCACCCCGCACCTGTTTAGTTTCATGAACAAGCCCCCTATGTACTCCTGGAACACTTGATTCACTGTATGATATTGGGCTCTTATTAGACTCCTAGATTGTATGCCTTCATGACCAGTAGAAGGCCTTTCAGAATGGTACTGAAGGGTGCAAGCGAATATGCACCTGACTTTTGCGTCAGGTTGGACTTCCTGCAGGGGATTTCCAATAGCGTGAGAACGAGTGCCACCGCTCAGTGACCACGTAGGTTGCAGTGGATTCCTCACCTCTGGGTGCATTCTCGGAAAGCCCTTAAGTTGGAGTAGTGAGAACAGGGCACAATTTTTTTAGCTTCTAATTTACAGATTCCATGGACAGTCTACAATAATCTAGGTATTTTTTAACTACTGGAACTTCATTGCTCATACAACCACACATGGAAGCCTGGAGAAGAAAACAAGTTGTGTAATCTAGAACCTAGGCCAGCCCCCAAATAGCAGAGATGGCGGAGAGGAGAGTAGGCACGCAAGGCAGTGTGGCAGGAGCAAAGATGAGGGCTGTCTGTGGTGGTCGAGTGGTTGGTGAATGCAGGAAATGGTGCAAGAGGTGATGGGATAGCCAAATGGTAACAGCAATCCATTGAAGTGTGGGGTGATGCTGGTGATGGGAGCAACTAACAAACGTGAAAGCAGAGGGATGTGGTGCTTCTTGAATGTGTTCATGGAGGTGCATGACATGCAAACCTGGAATGCGAGAGTTGGTGATGCCATGCATGTGAAACCAACTTTCACATGGTGCAGAGGAATGGAAATGCAGCAATCATGGTGCATGAGACACATGCATCACAGGCTGACAGACATGCAGACACATGGTACCAACCAACCACTGACACATGGCATGACATGGCAAGGCAGCGAGCAGTGCAATGGTGGCATCAGCCTGCGATGTCGGAAAAGGAAGGGGGAGACGAGAGGAATCACGACGGGCTTAAGAAGCATATGGGCACACAAACAAATGCTGTCAATGCACTCCCTGCAAAAAACATTTACTCCCTGCAAACGACATTCACTGGCTGCAAACGACATGCATTCCCCCCTCCCCAAGCAACCCACTCCCTTCTCACTACCCTCCCCTCTCCCCTCTCTCCCTTTTCCCTTCTCCCTTCTTCCTTCCTTCCTTCCCTTCTCCCTACTCCCCTCCTTCCTCTTCTACCCCATCGCCGCACTCACCCTAACAACATGTGCGTGAAAGCAAGTCAATCCGAGTCACTGGAGGAGCGAGAGCTGTTGGACCTGTGGGGGTGACGTTCAGGGACGGAAGGGGGGGGGAGGAGTGGGGAGGGAAGCGGAGGCCTGGAATGAGAGGAGAGAAGAGGTGTACCGTATCATATCAATCCGAGTCACTGGAGGAGCGAGAGCTGTTGGACCTGCGGTGGAGTGAGGTCATGTGGTTCACGAGGGAGGGGATGGGGGAGGGCGAGATGGGAGGGAAGAGAGGCAGAGAGAGGGGGGTGGGGGAGAAGGAGGGGGGGGGTTAAGGAGCAACCTGTGAAAGTGAGTCATTCCGAGTCACTGCAGCTACGGGAGCTGCTGGTCCTGCGGCGCGGTGGTGTGGACGTTCGGGAAGGAGAAGGGGGGAGGGGGATTTGGTCGGGGGAAATGGAGGCATGCAATGGGAGTGTAAAAGCGCTTCAATGAGAGCACGGCATGATGCATGCTGCCAGTAAAGCCTTTGAACCACCTGCCATGCACTTTTCAAGGAGGGAGTGAGGGTGCGGAAGGGGGGGAACGGGGAAAAGAAGGGGAGCAAGAAGCATGTTCCATTGGCGCATGGCATGAGGCAGATTCATATAATCGCATGGAAATGTACACAAGCAGTGTAGGATATCCATGCATGGCATAAGTTCAGCGCATGACATGGGCTTGCGCTGCAAACCAACATTGCAGCAACAGGGGCAAGCACCACCAGTTTCAAAGGCTTCTCTCCGCGTCCGCCCAGCTCTCACCCCAAGCGCAGCCTTTCCCCTTAAAGCCTTTTTCCCTTGATCGAAAAGCCCCGGAGCAGCTCTACTTGCTCTCCAGCGGCCCTCACTGCTCACCTGCTGGGGCTGCTCTTGGCTGGCCGCTTGCGAGGAGGAGACCTCTGCACACACGGGAAAGGGTGGTGTTGACGGTTGGGAGGAGCGGACGGAATGAGGGAGAGGAGTGTGGAAAGAGGTACATTCTAGAAACTACACTTGAGCAACATCCAGGGCTGTAGGCTGAATGTAGCGCATCCCGTCCCATGCACCACTCTGTCCCAGCTCCCAGAAAATCATGGCCCCCACAAGCATATGACGTATGTCGCCCAGCCCACAAAGCCACCACCCTCCTCCCCACGTGCACCGCTGCAACACACCCACCCCAAGCCCGAGGCCATAATCGCCTCCTTATCCCACCTCCTCCTTCCCCTCTTCACTCACCCGGCGCCGGTCGCCGTCGGACGAGGAGGTGGCGGAGGACGACGAGGGCGACTCTGAGCGCGCCCGCTTGGGCGGAGGGGAGCGATCCGGCCTGCGCGGGGGGCGATCAAGTATGGGGGAAAACCAAAGGTCAGGGGAAGGAAGGGGGAGAGAAGACGAAGGAGCAGGCAAGGGCGAATGGGAAGTGCGGAATGGGATGGCATGAACACAGAAAGCAACGGGTTGGGAAGAGAAAAGAGGTGGGAGAGCAGAAAGTGGTGCGCACAAGAGTGGAAGGGGTGGGGTGGGAGCTGACCTGCGGGCGGGCGGTGGTGGGGGTAGGCGCTGGCGTCGAGAGGGCGGGGAGCGCGAGCGGGTGCGAGAGCGGGAGCGGGAGCGGCGGCGCGTAGGGCCTGGGCTGGAGCGACGAGCAGGGGGCGAGCGGCGAGGAGGAGAGGGCCGCCGCGCAGGGGAGGAGCGGCGGCGAGGGGGGGGCGACCTGGGATGGGGGAAGGGGCGGAAGGAGAAGGGGTAAATAAAGGGAGTGTCGTGAATGGCAGTGCGGGGGGGCGAAAAGGAAAGCAGATGAGGATGGGTTGAAGGCGGTGATTGCATGAAGGCGTGATGGTTTGAGAGTGCATGGATGGCTATCTGCGGGAGATGTGGGAAGGAGGGCACATCGGAGAGAACGAGGCGGAAATAAACTGCAGGTAGCATAGATAGAGGGAGGGGGGGAGGAGGGGGTGGTGAAGGAACGGGATGAGAAGGAAAAAGATGGCAGCTCGATTGAGGGCAAAGAAGATGTGGGAAATTTGGACGGGGAGAGCGGAGGGTGCGGAGGGTGGGGGTCGGGAGGGTGGGGAGGGTGGTGGGGAGGGTGGGGCGGGTGGTGGGGAGGGTGGTGGGGAGGGTGGGGCTGGTACCTGCGGCCGCGGAAGGGGATGGGGGAGCGGCGTCTGGGAGGGCTTCTAACGCGGCGAGGAGAGGCACTGCGCTGCCTGCGAGGGGGGGAGCTGCGGGGCGGGGAGAGGCGGAAAGCGAGGGGCGCAACACAACCACGGGGAGCAGAAGATGCAGGGGACACACTGGGTGATCCACGCATGGAACACCAAATAGTCCTGACAATGGCTTTGTTCCTTGCCTTTCCCTTCCACGCCCTTTCAAGTGAGCACATGCGCTCCCATGCCCTACCACGATTCACGCCCTCTCATTCCGCATGCTTCCTCTCACGCACTCCCAGGCCCCCTACGCTGCCCGATTGAGACCCTTCATGTTTCGGTGCCCAGCAGCCAATCAAAGCGTCATTCCCCAAACCAAGCCACTAAAAGATTGTTATCCGCGCTGTCTCCCGTCCCCCGTCCTCCCCCACGTACCGCAAGGGCGAGCGCCTCCTTCCCCCTCGGGGCGGGGACGGTGACCTTCCCCTTGCGCCGCCTGCTCTCACGGGGGACCTCCGCCGCGGCGACACCCCCCTGCCTCCCCGCTCGCCCTCCCTCCCCCGCTCCGCCTCTCCCCCCTTGTCCCCCCTGTCCCCCCGGTCCCCCCTGTCCCCCCTGTCCCTGTCGCTCGGCCTGTCGCGGTCCCTCACGTCCGCACGGCGGCGCGGGGGGGAGTCGACGGCGCGGCGAGGGGGCGGCGGCGGGGGGAGCGGTTCTGGGCGGCGCACGGGCTTTGGCGCAAGCACGAACTGCGCGCTCACCACACTGCCGTCGATCTGCGCCTGGCAGGGGATGCGCGGGGGGTGGTGGGTGGTGGGCGGGAGGGGGGGGTTGCAGGGGGAGGGTAAATCAGGGGGAAGGGATAGGAAAGAATTAGGATGGATGTGAAAGGATGAATGGGGATAGGAAGGGATGAGAGGGGATGGAGGGAAAGACATTCAAGAGGGATGGAGAGGGATGGAAAACATTCAAGCGCATCGCGCTCACTCACCCCATCCATGTGCAGGCGCGCCTTCTCCGCATCGGCGCGCTTCTTGAACTCCACGTACCCGTAGCCCTTGGGCAGATTCACCTGCGACGACGCACAAACGACGAGGCACGACGGCCGACAAGCGAGAGGCGTTGGGAAGGTGAAAAAGGGAAGGAGCAGAGACGGCAGAGAGACATCACGCACGGGTGAGAGAAGGAAAGCGAAAGGAGAAGGGCGCGATGGAGGAGGCAAGAATGGGGGAGGCAGAGAGGGAGAGAAAGCAGCGGGGAGAGGGCGAGTGTGACTCACGACACGGTCCATGGCGATCTCGACTTTGCTTAGCTCGCCGTACAGCCCTGCTCGCACACACGCACGCACCCACGCACGCACACACGCACACACAGGGGTCAGGGAGACGACGTAGAATGACATGGGTAAACGGACGAGATGCGTGAAGGCATGATGTGCGTAACGGCATCCGAGCGGTGTTACTGCTGGCGCGGGCTCACCGAATATCTCGCGCAGGTGGTCCTGGTTGACGTTGCGCGTGAGGCAGCCCACGTACAGCATCGTCGTCTCGGGCGTCGTCGACCGCTTCCTATCGCCACGAGGAATATTGGTTGGAAAACGGATGGGGTAACGGGTCGGGGGATGATCGCAAGCGCACACGCACATGCGGCGTGGATGAGACGAACACATACTAAGTGAAGAGGTTTTACCGTGCAACGAGCGCAAGAGGAGTCGAGGAGCGCACGGGGCTATGCTAACACACCTGTCATTGGGCGACGGGCTTCGCTTCTTCTTGCTCGACTCTGTCGTCGGCCTCGCACTGCACGACAGCGACACGCGCGCACGACACACGATCGCACACACTTGGTACTGAATCTCGGACCCCAGGAACTAAATCTCTGAAACTCCTCAAGGGAAAGTTACACCGAATAAAAAACGCTACGCTTAACGATCCGAAACTGAGAGAGAGAAAATGGAGAGACAATGTCCATCAATATACGGCGACCCGGAATTGAGAGAAGGGACATCTACGGCTGCACGGACCCTTTCTTAGGCGGCGGGCTGCGGCTTCTGGACGAGGCTGAATCGGAGCGAGAGGGCGACGCGGAGGAGCGCGAGCGAGAAGAGCCGGAGTCGGACGAGGAGGGCGACTTGGACTTGGACTTTGACTTCGATTTGGACTTGGAGTCGGAGCCCGACTCCGACGACGACTGCTTCGCCATGGCTCCGGTAGCTTGAAACTAAACGCGATTTAGATGTTTGGAGCAAAAATCTGCTCAGCCTAGCAGCAACGCGATGCAGTTGCTGACAGCACCAGGCCCACCTAAGAAACTAGTGTGTAGTCTAGTTACTGACGGCGGTGGTGAGCGATGGAAACTAAGGAATGAAAGAACAAGCCAGTCTGTTCTGGCAATCTTGAAGCAGGATAAGGCATTCTGGAATCCTCTTCATATGGTAGGTTCCGCCTTCAGAAAAACGTTTTACCTAGTGCACAAATGTACAACTTCAAGACGGAAATGAAGCTAAATGGAGAGTAAGTACAGTTGGCTTTTTGCATATACCGTAACTAGAGAGAGGAACACTGTCATGTGCATCAACGACTCGTGGTCGCCAGTGCAGCAGGTGCTGCTTTGCTGCGAGTTGACCAATCACAAAAATGCACTACTACCGTAATTGGAAACCCCACAGGAGCTTTGTGCAATTTTGAACAAAGCAGGCCATACAGCGGCAAGGAGACAAGCTAGTGTGCAAAGCTAGACGGAGTACTTATCCGAGGCTGACCTTGACCCTTTCTGGTCCGCCTGCACAGGAAAAGAAAATGCGTCAGAGTACACAAGGCATTTCTGCTCCGAAAACTGTCATACAGCAGCAGGAGCAAGCAACAGAGCAGCAACTTTCTCATAGACATCATGCCTAACTTACAAAAGAGGAGAACCCGATTTGCTCCGTCAAGCCCAGAATCTCCTTCAGTTGCTTGCCAATGCTCGTCTGCACCCAGGATCAGTAGAAAATACAAGATTGCCATTACATGCCAGGTCGAAAGCCCACAGCGGTGGAAACAAAGCTGCAGTGCAAGCATGGAAGCTTCAGGCGTACCTGAATGGATTCGCTGGCAGCCGATTTAGTCCAGAGCGCCACTCTGTCCTTGTTTGGTCGAATGCTCACCACGGCGCCACAGATGTCGTTGCCCTCGTCGATCTGCTCGCCTATCATCGCCAGCATCTGCATTGCAGGACATTCGGGGGTGGCACCAGGGGTGGTTGGTTGGTTGGACATGCAATGTGGGATGACGGGGAAATATACGAAGGAGGACAGCGCGCATTAAGACTACCTGCACATGGTAACATGAGGGAAAAGGCGTGACTCTAGTAATTACCCTGTCAAACCAAGGAGTGACCTAACGTAAATCTTCGGGGGCACACAGGGAGTAAGCCGCGTCTCACCAAGTGCAGCCACATGTTATCGAGGTACTCCTTGCTCCGCGAGCACGGAATGGTCCAGGAGCCGCCCTTCTCGCACTTGGGGTCCTCCCACTTGGGTTGAATGCCCTCCTTGAACAGGTGCATGTCCGCCTTGTTCATCAGCTTGCTCGGCTGCACTATATTGTTGTATAAACTGCGCGAACAAAAAAAAGCCATGACAAGATGGCAGAAAGGAGGGTTGACGATTAACGAGGGTTGGCGATGGGAGTCGTGAGGTGAGAAGGATCGGGAGACGGCGGAAGGGCCTGAGCACTCCTTAAGGAGCAAAACCACCAAATAACGAATCGCTTGGCAATGATTGCTTGACGAAACCTTAGAAGAACCCAAGATCGCGAGTTTAGCAATAAAAGCGCGAGTGAACGACACGTTGAGCCACGCACCACCAAAAGTCCTCAACGGTCCCGAAGGTGAAGACAACGCGGAGCGAGCTTCCCCACGAGCCACCGCTCTTCCCGCGTTGTTGCGGATTGTCGAACCAGAGCGTCCAGCGGTGCTCCAGCGGATGCTTCACCAGCGCTTCGCTCTCATTCGCCGCTGCTCCTGTCTCTGTCTTCTCCGCCGCTGCTGTGTTCGTCTCTGTCTCGGTCTGATCTACGGCCGCCATATCTTGAACGACAAAGGAAGACGAAAAAGAAATGATACTGCTAGAGTTTATTTCTCAAAACCCTAGTTCTTCGAAGTCAGCGACACGAGGAGCACACAGAGACTGCGAATACCGCACCAAATTTACCGCAAGATACAGCTGAAATTTTCACGTAAAGTGATCCCTCCTGACCTAATTCCAGCAAACACACAGTGACAAGGATAAGGAAGAAGAGCGAAGAGAGGCTCTCCTGAAATCTCAGCGCAAGAGACGATGTTGGAGGATGTTTAGTATGGGAAACTGGGGAGGGGGAAAGGAACCAGGGGAGAGGGAAAGGCGCTGGAGCGGCGGTGAGGAAATCGAGACAGGTGATGAGAACCTGAACTTTACTGGGGCGACTCATCACTCTACACCGCATCCTAGAACCAATGCGATGCTATAGAATTGCATCCATCAGACGATTTGTAGAGGTAGATGAGCCACATACCAAGCCCGCCACCCAGATCTTTGGGAAGTGCATGCATTACAAATAATATACACAACCAAGCCTAACACCTGTACAAACGCATGCAGACTCACTTTCTAATGTGATACAAGGCATGGCGCATGAACCTCTGGGGATCATGTGACAAAGCTCTGAAGAGAACAATCAACACGGGGTCGCACTGAGCTGCCCTCTCAATCAACTCATCCTGTTCGTCTTCAGACATTACCAGCACCTGCGGTTCCTCCCTCCTCTCTTCCTCTCCGCTTCCCTCCTGCCTAGTTCCTTCTGGCTCCATCCCTTCTCCCATTTTTCCTGCCCCCTCTATTTTACCAGATGGTGAGAGGCGAGAAGCAGCGTTCGCTGTGAAGGGCAGTTGATTGAATGACTCAAACGCACGGACACTGCCATTGGAGGGCCCAGCAGCAACTGGCCCTGAGCTTGCTGCATTATCTCCCTTGGGTTCTGAGCCTGGTGCTGTTGCTGCTGCTGGAGCTGGTGGTGCTGCTGATGGGGATGCTGCAAAAGCTTGTGATTGTGCCATATTGGGTAGCAAAGTCGGGGAGGAGGAAGCGGCATGTGAACGAGGAGGAGATGTGACGGACAATGTTGCAGAGGTGGTTACTATGACTTGGATCATGGCAACAGCGATGTCAGCGTCACTCATCCCCTGTACTCCCTGCCTCTCCCTATAGTCAAACCAGCTACTATCACCAGCAGCAGAAGCAGGTGCTGATGTGCCTGGACTGGTCCCCATTGACTGGACGAATGGGGCTGCTGCTGCTGATGCTGCTGCTGGTGATGGCGGTGGCGGTGCCAGTGGTGATTGTGCTGTTGCAAGTGGTGGAGCTGCTGCAGTTGGCATAACTCCTCGTGATTGAGCTGCGGCTGCTGCTGCTGGACTGCCTCGCGCAGATGGTGAAAGCAGTCTGGACATTCCAGGGCTCGCCACTCCTGCAGCAGCAATCGCACCATTGGCTGCCACTTGGTCTCGCACCATTGGCTGTGCTGAAGCCTGCATTCCTCCATCTCTTGCTGCTGGCACTGCCGGCGCCTCTCTCTGCTGACCCCAAGCACTGCTGCCACCGTTACCGTCACCTCTCACAAAATCATCTCCCACACTCCCAACTCCTAGATCCACCCAACTACTCCTGCGACCAGTGCTCAATCCATCACTTTCACTGCTACTGCTACTGCTGCTGCTTCTGCTGCTAAAACTGTCGCTACTGCCGATGCTGCTACCTACACTCGCGGCCTCACTGTCGCTACCACCAGCCTTCCCTCCAACGGCAACACCTGCTGCCGTGGCCTTGCTACTGCCGCCCCCGGCTGCACCTGCAGAGCCTGCTGCGGCGGTGGGCGAGGGCATGGTCTTGGCAGCGCGCGAGGGCAGGCAGTGCAGGGAGGCGGGGGTGCGCGACCAGATGACAAAGCCAAAGTCCGGAATCAGCGCCAGGTCCTTGGCCAGCCGCAGGGGCTCCTGGGAGCGGGAGGGACAGTAACATTCGAGTCATTGTTCAGAGATGGCAAGAATGGGAGTCACTTCCTTGGACAGGTGGAGGGGCTCCTGGGCAGGAGAGACGGCATGGGGCAGGAAGGGAGCAGGGAGCGCAAGCAGGGGGCCTAGGCAGGCCGGAAACAGAGTGGTGGGAACATACAGTGAAGGACACAAGCAAAGGGGCCGATACACCATTGCAAACACAATGTGTGGAGCTGGGTGGGAGATGGTGCAGTGAGGCACTGACCACAAAGTCCCCAGAGTTGGGAATCCAGAGCGCCAGCTGCTCCACCTCACTGGCGCCCGCAAGCCCGTTTGCCAGTGCTATCTTGGTACGCACAGCGTTCTGCCCGAGTGGAGGGGAAGAGCACGGGGAGAGGGGAGGTTGATGCGCAGGGGAAGTGATCTGAAAGTTCTCAAAGAGAACCTCCCATGCCGGTTGGCCTCTGCTCCTGTAAAAAATCTGAAATGCTGAAAATGGGTAACAGTAGCTACGTTAGTTTGATCTCAGCCCACAAAACACAAGAAATCAAGACACTGGTGTGGTGATGGAGTGAAATGGTGATGATGATGAGACTGACGAGGGAGGGCACGCGGATGGTGATTGACTTCATGTTGCCGTTGGGCGCATCATACGCCTCCAGGTCCCACTCTATGCTGCGAAACGTCTTGCCAAACACCAGCGTGCGCCAGTACAGTGCCACCTGGGGGGGGGGGCAGAGGACACACAGGGAGAAGGGAGAAGCAGGTGGGAACGGAGTGACTTTGAAGGCAACGCAAGAGTCTCACAAACCACTGGGAAAGTGCAATCCGTTTTGTGAAAACTCAATCAACGCGGAAAACAATGGTGGAGAAGGGATGGAGCGTGAGAAGAAGGGTGGGCGCACCAGGCTAGCGCCTCCGAAGGAGCGCCAGAGGGCGTCCATCTGCGGCACCACTGCCACCGCCACCGGCGCCGCTGCTGCTGTCTTGGCTGCAAAGCCCAGCCCCGCCATGCCAAACACCGTGCCCGCTGCACTGGCTGCTGGACCGAACAGCATCCACCTGATGGCATGCACGGGAGGCGCATGGGCGGTTGGGGACAAGGTGAGCAGTTGGCAGAGGGAAGTACAGGAATATGGTGCGGCGGGAGTGGGAATGCTGCTGTTTGTGGTGGTCGTATCCCCCTGACAGCTCATGTCCATTACTCACGCCCCGACACATCTTCCTGTCTCACCACACCAAACCCAGCCTCACCACACCCCTCTCAACTTCGCCACACCCTTCCCAACCTCACCAGGGTTCCTTCTCCACGACAGCAGGCTGTGGCGCCACGGCCTTGAGCCACTCCTGCACGTTCACATACACAAACACGCCCGCCACAATGGGCAGCACCGTCAGCACCACCATGATCGCCACCTCCACCACTGTGCTCTGCGTCGCCGCCGCCACCATCCCCGCCCGCCACCGCCGCAGCCTCTCCTCCGTCCGCGCCTTGCTGCTCATCCCCTCCTCCCCTTCCGCCTCCGCCTTCCGTCCCCGTCTCCGCTTCCTGATCCTCCTCCCCCGCGCGTCCACCTTCCACCTCCCCCCGCCCGCCTCCTGCCGCCGCTGCTCTTCGCGCGCCAGAAGCGCGTCGCGCGCGTACTCGTTATAGAGTCGCGAGAGTTGCGGGTCCTGGCTGACGGCCTGGCGCAGCTCCCCCCACTCTTCCTCCAGAGTCGAGCCCTCGATCCCCCCGCGCGACACCTCCTGCAGGAGCGCCATCTCCACCACTGCGCGCTCTAGAACCTTCCGCTCCGCGCCCTCTGCTTCCGCGCCCGAGGGGGAGGCGAACGGGGAAGGGGCGGACGAAGTAGCGCTCGAGGCGGGAGAAGCGAGGGGGGAAGATTGCTGACTGGCAGGATCGTCTTGGTACTGCTTACTTCGATTCTCTAAGGGACGAGTCGCTTGCGGCTGACTCCCTGTGCCAGTGAACCCTAATGCAGTATCATCGCCACTGCTACTCTCACTCCCGCCACTGTTACCCATGGCGCTACTGTTGCCGCCGCTGCCAAGTCCGATGCTCCCCGTATTATAGTCTATTTTTGCATGACTTTTGCGCTTTAACCTGCTCGCTGATCGCGCCAGGGCCATATCCTCTCTTCTCCGACGCGCGCGCTCCTCTTGTCCCCCAACCCAATTTGCCGTTCCGCTTCCGCCATCCCCCCACTCTTCCCCCGCTTCCGCAGGTCCCCGCGAATTCGCAGCGGAAGCGACGCCTAGTCCAAGCAGCGACAGCAGGTTTTCCAGTGCCTGAAGCTGCTCCTGAAGCTGCGCCTGCAGCTGCGCCTGAGCCTGCTGCAACTGAACCCCCACGCCTTCCCCGCCCGGTACGCCACTCCCAGCTCCCCCTTCCATCTTTCCAATCGCTCCCCTCGCTACTGCTGCCGCATCACCAGCTCCTGCCGAAATCGTCGCTGCTTCGCTCGTCCCTGCGACCGTTGCTTCCGCCTCGGCCAGACTCTTCACCCCACCGCTGCTCGACGCGACGGACGCGCCAGGATATGACTGCACGCCGTTGATTACGCCATCAGATGATGTAACGCCGGTAACCGCAGTGACTTGTGTTTCAGACTGATGCGCGGAGGACCAGTCGTTTGTCAGCGATGATTGCGATAATTGCGACGACTCGAGCGAGCTTTCGCGATTTGCGACCAACTGCGACGAGACAATGTTTTGAGGTATGTCAAGACGCTCACCACCGCCGACAGACGGGTGGTTGGCTTCTGGCGTGAAAGCTCCATGATTGCTGACGTCCGGATGTTGAAATTCCGCAGCTCCAGACACATCTCCGGCTTGCTGTTCTGATGTCGTCGCGTCAGGAGGCAGTGCGGGGTGGTCGGTCGGCGAGTCGTCAATCAGTTCAGGACTCAACGGCTCTGCGATGTCGTCAAAATTCCTCGACCTGCATATTGACAGCGGCGACGGCCGATGCCTGATTGGCGAGATTCGCGCATCTACAGGTGCTGGAATTCGGGAAATGTGTAGCTTCTTGCTTGAGCCGTGGCTTGAATGTCTAACGGAGGCTCGAACGGCAACTCTGACACGAGATGTGGATACACGTAGGTATGAAAGAGGAGCGGACAATGCGACTGTCGGAGCCATCAGGCAACGGAGATTCGAAGTTACTTTCCGCTGAAGCTGTTCATCCCCACTGACATGGACTAGTAGATGATGACAATAAGTTAGTTCTAGCGCACACTCCGTGGACTTCACATAATGAACAGATGGGCTCATTGACAGGAGGTACGTGGAGTGGAGCCATTGCAGCACAGCATCTTGGCTCGGTTTGGAATCTGGACATGAGTTGAAGAAATGGAAGGGACTCGTCAAGTCACAGCTTCTGATACAGTTCACAGAATGCAAGCTTAGTGATGTAATGAGGGTCTAGATTTGACAAGCGGGGGTTCAGAAGTTATTGTTTTGAACCAGGCTTGCCAGCGCGAAAGTGTTGGCTGGCGAAAACCTGGATTTCGTGCGGACACTTTTCCTCCACAGTAACAGTTCGCCAGGGGTTTGGGCTTTGGGTGGCAAAATGTGCACCATCGCTACATTTGTGCATAAACAAATAAGTACAAACCGTATACTTTAGTGTTTATCGCCTCAAATCTGTACTTGGAAACGCGTACACAGTGTTTAGTTTAGCTGGCACTTCTTGTTCAGCCTTCAAGCTGAAGCAAGCTCGAAGTTTGTGCTGCTGGCGTCAGCCTTGGGGGTGTCGAATTTGCCTCGCAGGTCCTGATGGCTATTAGGAACTTCGGCCAGCTGCTGCTGCGGCCAGCTGCTGCTGCGGCCAGCTGGACCGACGTCAGCAAAAAACGGAGTTACGAACGGAAACTGTGACGTTTTCATTCTGAGACACGACTTGACTGATTGCCGTTTACTGTTTCACCCATAACCTGTGCCAGAAAGCTCAGTTGACCAGCACTTCACACGAATCAGACCGCCAGAGCCAGATCTGCGATGCCACGTCAGACCAGCCTGGCGACTTGACGTGGGATCGGGATGCTGGCATTGGGATGGTCGTTAAGGCTACCGGACCGCGTGCATGTCTGGTTCCTCCTGGCTTCACCAGCTGTTGTGAACCATTTCTCACCCAGAACTTAACTCGTCGCTTTCTCTATGGCGGCTGGAGTTTCTAGATTCCAAGCAGAAATTTGAGGGCGACGCTGGCCTCCGTCTTTTAGGTATGCTCTTTGGTGCCACTTTTGCCGTTAACTCAAGCTTAGCCCTTTGTGACTCGCGCATACATGCACTAAAACTACCGTCAGTTTCTACTAGATGCGATTGGTGCGATGGTGCTTTACGGGTTCCCTTCGTTTGCGAGCAGGACCTTATGCAAGGCAAGCTGCTCCCTAGCGTTTGTCGCGGAAATAGCCCTTATTCATCTCCTTCCATCTCATCAGTGCCTCGTCGGATATATGTGATAATACAAGCCATCCCTTTGATCTTTCGCAGCTCTGTCGTCGAATACGATTAGAGGTGGCTGCTGAATGGTCACTGTTCAAGGAGAAGTGGTCGATTATTGCATCTGGTATCCTTTTTCAGGCACGTTTCTAGTACTCATTGAATTCCCTGGCTTAAAAAATGAGGGCACTATTGACCAAGCGTTTCTGCTCAACTGCAGTTTGTTCACGGTTTCTTAACTCGAACGGCTCACTTTCTCCACGCTCCTCGCCCGCCATTACATGATGTCGGTTTTGAAGTTGTCCCTGTGAGTGCCTTTTTCGTAAACCTCTGCTGCTCACGAAAACTGCTTTTGTATCTCGAGTTGTCATATCGTTACTCGAATCTGCTTGTGACTGAATATTCACGTGCTTTTTTTACAGGAAATTGGTCCGGAATATTTTTTCATCAGTGAATACCTTTTTTTCGCCATATTCGTTCCTTGCTGCATCGTAAGGCCTTCATAGTGGACTACACTAACTCTTTCCGATTGTCTTCGCTGATACTAAGTGTTCTTGTATCTTGGCTTTCCCATGATAGGATGTGCTCTTTTGGTATCAACCGACACTTTCTTTTTTCGTGTCTCAGTGGACATTCCATCCCTTCGTGTGCACCAAGAAGCAATTTTACACTGTGCTTGTGTGGTGCAAAATTCTTACAGTATTTGTGGTAAGAGGCTAGCTTAAGGTCTCCTTGTCTCGGCTTGTGTGTCTGGTAGTGATTGTTGATGGTAACTGTGGATTAAACGGGTGCCCTGACAGATGTGTCAGACTTTTCGAGTACTGTCCTTCACTGCAACACAACTACCTGGTCCTGCACATCATTGTAGACAGGTATGCCTAGCATCAATTTTCATTTTCCCTCTCCAGAGCTCGGCTTCTTTGTAATACTTCTGGTCATTATGAACGTGCAGGGATCTCCCACAGCTATTCTTAAATACACTGGAATCCAGGACGTGCTGTACCTCAATGGTAGGCGAAGCATTGTTATAGGCATGCCTTGAACAGAGCGGAATTTTAATACGTCATTTTCTCTTCTTTCTTGTTATCAGTTTGTAACCATTATCGTATTGCTGTACCTGTGGTTGCCGCAGCCATGCATGGGTGTGGTGACCTCATCTTTTCCTCCCACATGACATTCATCCTCACTGTTGTCATCACGTACTCCAGATATGGAACCAATCTGTGAGTCCTTACATTCACCGGAATGCCTTGTTTTATTCTGCTGGATGAGTTCGTGTGTCTGATCATCTGATGACATCTTGTGAGCCTGCGTCTTGCTTGACTTTGTCTTCATTGCTGCCTTTTCAGCTTCTTCAAGCACCTGTCATGGTTATTGTCTGGAGTTATGTCGGTCTTGATAATCGCTTCACGCAAGCACTACACAGTGGACGTTGTCATTGCATGGTAAGAACCGAAAGATTCTGAAACAGCATGTTCATTTGTTATTTTCGTTTGAGTTGACAGTTCCTTCATATATCCATTTCCAGGTACGTTGTACCTCTGGTCTACTACTTTGTTGAGCACAAGCTGGAGGACAACGGTATGAGCACAATTCCTTGGATTGTTAATGTTCAGTACATAATGGCCCAACGGCTTCTAACCTGTGTTTTAATGGATCATCCTGGACTCTTTGCAGTTGGCCCAAGAGACCTGCTTGAGCATAGCCTTTGTGACAAGATCCTACCACTCCACTCCTCGCCCTTCCACTTGTCATCGCAACTGGAAACCTCTTTCGAAGCTCAGGCATCCAATCACCATGCTTATACACTTGATCAAAACCTTTTGATCCGATTTTTTCATGGCCTAAAGTACGTTTGGAGAAGATTGCAAGCCGCTTTTGTCAGAGTATGCACTGGCTCGCCTGATGAGGTACGCCACCTCCAAACCCCCACACTCCGTCTTTCTTTTGATGTTGGCCCTTTGTTACTGGTTGTTCCTAAAAAGAGAATGTTTCTGTGTCTTGTGTGCAGGAATGTGGTAGTTTAAAAGCCAGTTTGTCTGGGGTTGATGTGAGATGAGAGCTCGGGCATTAAGAAAACCTGAACTGATTGTCAGCATAACTGTGAAGGAATGAATGAACTATGAATGAGTTGGGTACAAGTACTAACCCTAAAGTGTTGTACCCCTTGTAGGTTAACCCACTATAGACTAGATATAACATAAACATACAGTTTGATACACCCCATACGTTAAGTGGGAGAGAGCAAACACAACAGACGGTCGTAAGGTCAGTCAAGCAAGAGAACAAGCAAAGCAAAGCTCAGGGTGGATCTCAAGAACACCATACAATCTAAGCACCAGCAAGCGGCCACAAGGCCAGTTCACATGCACAGCTATAATAGCAAGACAGTACATTGATCAGAACCTAGTAAAAGGAAACATGCAGGTATAAATATAGATATCAGTGTACAACAAGTGCAAGATCAAGAAACAAGCAGGTGAGGTAGAACGGGCAGAAGCCCAAGAGCAGTGTGAAAACGCAGAAGATCACCAGATCCGAGGGCCTTGGTGAAGACATCAGCAGTGTTGGCCCGAGATGTCACGTAAGAAAGACGAAGCTGACCACGCTGCTGCAGCTCTCGAGCAAGAAAGTAGCGAAGAACAATGTGCTTCGTTCTGTGCTCCAGTCTCTGCTCCTAACACAAGGCAAGCATGGCCTTGTTGTCGACGTACAAGTTTGGAGGAGAACGAGGCCGCCCCCCCAAGTCGGTCAGCAGGTAGGTCATCCAGCGTAGCTCCTGTGCAGCCATGGCCCCAGCGTAGATCTCGGCCTCACGACTGGAACCAAGCACAGAAGAAGAGCGAGTGGACCTCCACGAGACAGAACCAGAGCCAAGACTGAAGGTGTAACCCTGTGACGAACGCTGAGTCGCCTGGTCGTCGGCCCAAGAAGCGTCGGAGTGTCCTGTGAGTACCACTGGACCCTGTCCACCAAGCACAAGCCCCATGCCCGATGTACTGCATAAGTAACGCAGTAATCTCTTCGCAGCATCAAAGTGCACCTTTCGGTGTCTACCAGGAGCCACGTAGCGAGTCAGGAGGCTGAGAGGGTACGCGAGGTCAGGTCGTGTGCACGTCATCAAGTACATGAGGCAACCCACAAGCTCTGGGTACGGACCACTCGGCTCTACGGACTCGTCCGAAGGTGGAGCTGAGAGCGAGTGGCCGGTAGACAGAGGAGTGGGCTGTGGCGAGGAGTACTGGAAGCCGAAGCGCCGAAGGACCTGGTGCACCATGTGTGATTGAGTCAAGGTGATGGTGCGCCGTGCTCTGTCCCGGGTGATATGCAAGCCAAGATAGCTACGCAGCTCACCCAGGTCAGTGCAGGTGTGTCTCTCTTGCAGCTCCGCCTTCACTAGGGCCAGCGCTTCAGTGTCAGCAGTAGAAAAAACCAAGTCGTCGACGTACACGAGAACGTAGAACGACGGCAGGGTAGGGTCGGTGCGTAAAAACAGCGACGGATCAGCAAAGGAAGGAGCAAACCCAAGAGCCGCAAGTGTAGTCCTCACTGTGTCGTGCCACTCATGGGGCGCCTGGTGGAGACCGTAGACTGGCCGCCGGAGGCTCCACTGGGTACCCGCAGAAAACGACCCAGTGAAGCCAGGTGGGCGGCGCAGCCAGATCTCCTCGTGAAGGGTGCCCTGCAAGAAAGCTGTAAAAAGTCGAGGGAGTGCAGCTCGTAGTCACGCTGTGCTGCAATGTGCAGCAGCACCCGAAGAGTAGTCATCTTCGGGGTGGGAGAGAAGGTTTGGAAGAAGTCGACCCCCTGACGCTGTCTGAAGCCTCGAGCAATGTAACGCGCCTTGAAGGCAGGCGGAGAACCCAGCGGCCGCTTCACCCTGAAAGTCCACATGCCATCGACTATGTTTGCCCTAGGAGGAGGAACATCGTCGACGTAGGTGCCTGTGGACTTCCAGGAAGCCATCTCTGCGTCCATGGCTGTCTACAACTGAGAGGAGTACTCATCCGCGATCGCCTCAGCGTAAGAGCGCGGGGTAGGGATGTCAAGTGCATCCGGGTCTCGCTCAGGGAAAAACAGCATGGATGCGAAACGAGGTAAAGCGACCGCAAGACACTCAAGCTCAAACTGTCTGTCCTCAAGGACGTCACTGCCAAGGGCAGGCTCACCCCCGATGGATGGAGGACAGACAGACTCAGACTCAGTAACAAGACTCGCGACGTAGTCGAGACGACTCCTAGCTGCAAATTGATTGGCTCGGTGACTAGGGCAAACGCTGCAGTAGACTCAAAGTCAGGGTCAGTGACGCCAGTAGCGAGGAGACGAGTGACAGTAGGATTGGCAGCACGAGCAAGGTCGGACTCAGGGTCAGTAACGTGCGGAAGAGAGGACGCAGCTCAGGCAAGACAACACGCTGTGGAACAGAGGAAGGAGGAAGTGCCATGTCGTGAGTGCCTGGGATAGCAGGAGGACGAGGACGGGCGACACGACGAGCACGAACAGGTGTGGAAGCACGAGTCTCAGGCTCACGACACTAAGTTAGGGACTCACTCACCTCAGTGTGAGGAGCAGGAGCAGGCAGCGGGGAGCCAAGCAGAAGCTGTGGCTGAGACTGGTCTGTCGGTGGACACAGGAGAGGTGGAGTGAGGCCAGTGGAAGACGGGAGACTAAGAACCTGGCGAAGGACCGAGTCAGGCGGCGGCAGGGACGACTGCGGCTGCGGGTAGAAAAACAGTCGGCGCGGGGCAGAACCAGCAGCTCCAGCTCCTCCAGCACCAGCAACACCAGCACCTCCAGCACCAGCAGCTCTAGTAGCACCTCTAGCACCTCCAGCACCAGCAGCACCACGAGCTCCGGCAGCGCCAGCACCTCTAGCACCAGCAGTACCTCCAGCAGCTCCAGTAGCACCTCCAGCACCAGCATCACCACCTGCTCCGGCAGCTCCAGCACCTCTAGTACGAGCACCTCCAGGACCAGCAGCTCCAGCACCTCCAGTACCTCCAGCTCCAGCGCCTCCAGCACCAGCAGCACCAGCACCTCCAGTGCCAGCAGCTCCAGTAGCACCTCTAGCACAAGCAGCACCACTAGCTCCGGCAGCTCCAGTACCTCTAGTACGAGCACCTCCAGGACCAGCAGCTCCCGTAGCTCCAGCACCTGAGCACCAGCACATCCAGTGCCAGCAGCTCCAGTACCCCCAGCACCTCCAGCACCAGTAGCACCACCAGCTCTGGCAGCTCCAGCACCTCCAGTATGAGCACCTCCAGGACCAGCAGCTCCAGCACCTCCAGTACCTCCAGCTCCAGCGCCTCTAGCACTAGCAGCACCCCCAGCACCTCTAGCACCAGCAGTACCAGCACCTCCAGTGCCAGCAGCTCCAGCACCTCCAGCACCAGCTGTACCTCCAGGACTAGTAGGTCCAGCACCTTCAGCACGTGTAGCACCTCCAGGACTAGAAGCTCCGGCACCTCCAGGACCAGCAGCACCTCCAATACCTCCAGGACTAGCAGCTCCATAACCTCCAGCACCAGCAGCACCTCTAGTACCAGCAGTACCTCCAGGACTAGCAGCTCCAACACCAGCAGGACCGTACCCTCCACCACCAGGTCTGCCTCGCCGAACGATCCACGAACGAATCGCCTGCGGTGAGAGCGTCTCAAGTAGATCAGGCTGCGGTGGCTGTCCAGCTCCAGGACCTCCAGCAGGGTCACCCACAACACCCCCAGAGTCAGCACCCCTAGTCGCAGCACCCCCAGAACCAGCACCCCCAGAACCCTCACCCTCTGTCTCAGCACCCCCAGGCTCAGCACCAGCAGTCTCAGCTCCAGAGTCCACAGCAGTAGGCTGTGGAGGCAGCGAAGACGGCCGAGGCAGAAAACCAGGGGGGGTCTCCAAACATGGAGAGCGGCGAGTGGCCGCCGTGTCGTCAACGGCGGGGTCACCCCCCTCAGCTGGGCCAGAGGAGTCAGAAGAGATCTCCAAAGGCTCAACCAAGGGGGGTGGGTCTACCTGAGACACACTTGAGGGAGCAGGACCCTGTGGGGGAGGGGGTCTACCAAGTGGGGGACTGGTACCAAGAAAAGAGGCGCTAGGGGGACCGGGTGGGACACGTGCGGGTGTAGCCTGTAGAAACAGACAGGCTCGTCAAAGGTGACGACTAGGGAGGAGAAGACTCGACGCGAGCATGGGTGGTAGAACTGCCACGGCGGGGCGTCGGTGGGGAAGCCAAGGAAGATGCAGTGGAGAGTGCGAGAGGAGAGCTTGCTCGCTTTGGCATCGCGAACAAGGGAGAGCGCGCCCCAGACCCAAAACACCAATGCATCGCCAACCTTCCCCGTCCACCGGAGTGTGGGCGAGGTCTCTGGCTCAGAGACACAGGGCCAGAGGTTGAGCTGATGCGCAGCGTATCGGACCGCAAACGGCCACAGAAAATGGGGAGCAGCCGCATGGATCATGGAGGTACGAGCAACCTCCATGATCAAGCCAATGCGACGCTCAGAAATCCCATTTTGCTGAGGAGAGGCCGGAAGCGTGAACGACTGGCGGATGCCCTCGTCTTGACAGAACTCCGCAAGGAGGTCAGAAGAGAACTCACCGCCCCTGTCAGAGTGCAGACGCAGGAATGGGAAGTCCCGAAGAAACCGCTCGCGTAGCTGGCGACAAGTAGCACGGATCCAGGGGATCAAAACACCGCTGACGTCCGCCTTGTGCGGACGGGGGCCGGGCCCCAAACGTCCATGTGGAGAGTCTGCAGAGGAGAAGTGGTCGGAGGAAACTCGGAGGAGTGAGGACCGGCGCGCTGCCGCCCCTCGACACAGGGAAGGCACGGCGGGGTAGGCGAGCGCGGGAGGGAGGGCAAGGACCTGGGAAGACCAGAGACAAGGAAACGGGTGTGCATGCTGCGGAGACACGG